GCTCACGCCTGTAATCCGAGCACTTTGGGAGGCCAAGGTGGGTGGATCACCTGAGGTCAGGAGTTCGAAACCAGCCTGGCCAACGTGGAGAAACCCCATCTCTAAATAAAAATTAAAAAAAATAAGAAGACCTTTTAGTTCTGGACTATCTGGTATTGGCCCCTAAAATGAGCCTCCCAGTACTCCTTTTCATGGGAAAGTGGTTGCTCCCTAACCTGTTGGAGCAGATCTTTCCTGGCTTTGCTACCTTGAAATATCAAGAGAAAAACATACAGCTGGTGTGATTTTTCTCTTTTCTTTATTTTTTGAGATGGAGTCTTGCTCTGTACCCCAGGCTGGAGGGCAGTGGTACAATCTCGGCTCACTACAATCTCTGTCCCCCAGGTTCAAACGATTCTCCTGCTTCAGCCTCCCGAGTATCTGGGATTACAGGTGCCTGCCACCATGTCTGGCTAATTTTTGTGTTTTTAGTGGAGATGGGATTTCGCTATGTTGGCTGGGCTGGTCTCAAACTCCTGACCTCAAGTGATCTGCCTGCCTCGGCCTCCCAAAGTGCTAGGATTACAGGCATGAGCCACCATGCCTGGCTGATTTTTCAATCTATAGATTAATATGTTCAAGAAATATTGCTTGTCTTTGTTTTCTTTAAATTTATTTGTATTACCAAGAACCCCACCACCATCTGCTTTGTTGGTGGGCTCCCCACAAATCCCAAGATTATGCAAAGGTATCCAGATTTTATGTGGCACCACGATGCTGAGAAGGTCCTTCTGGTCGTCAGACTGCTTGTGAAACAGCCACTATCCAGTCCTGGCAGTCCCATCAAGTCTAAAAGCTTGTTTCCTTGGGACCCCAAAATTAGGATAGGGCATAGAACCAGGATGTCAGAGATCCAACTCTGTGTACCATATTCCTCCTGAGAGCTGGGGAGTAGGACCCTAATGCTCACCTCGTCCTTGAGAGCCTCATAATTCCTTCCCCAGACTCCAGATTCTGCCCTCTCAGCTGTGCTGTTAGTCGTCATCCCCTCCACCTCTTAAGCATCTATCCTAATCCAAAGCTCAGGATTTGGGTTTCCACAAAAGGTAATAGAAAGCCTTTGCCTTCATTTGACTTGGCTTTCTTTGCCCAGCACTTGGCTGGTTGCTTGAAAATCATGTATGTATATGTATAAAATGTAGAGGCCCAATTTACATTAATAATGTCAAAAATTGTTCTGCTATGCAGATTACTTCGTTGTCAGGTAGGAAATGAAACATACGGTATCCTTCCCAGACTTTGACTTGAGAGTCTTCTGGAGCCTGAAAATGATGGGGCAGACAACCATGGACTGCTAGAGAATAAACTTTTTTTTTTTTGAGACGGAGTTTCACTCTTGTTACCCAGGCTGGAGTGCAATGGCGCGATCTCTGCTCACCGCAACCTCCGCCTCCTGGGTTCAGGCAATTCTCCTGCCTCAGCCTCCTGAGTCGCTGGGATTACAGGCACACGCCACCATGCCCAGCTAATTTTTTGTATTTTTAGTAGAGACGGGGTTTCACCATGTTGACCAGGAAGGTCTTGATCTCTTGACCTCGTGATCCACCCGCCTTGGCCTCCCAAAGTGCTGGGATTACAGGCTTGAGCCACCGCGCCCGGCATTAGAATAAACTTTTTTTGAAGCTACCAGCAGTTTGATTAGATGTTTGATTTAGTAGCCAATTTAAGAAATTTGTGTGAATTTTAGTAATTAGAATTTATTGTAAATAATAAAACAGGGTATTAGTAATGTTATAGTATTTTTGGGATGTCACTTTTCTGGCCAGAAACCTCTGTGGCTGGGTGGTACCTCTGGCCAAGTTTTGCTTGGGCCCACTGGGCTCACCGCACCCACTCAGACTGGCAGGCTGCACTTGGCTCACGCTACTGGCCTGAGTCCCATGCCTGCCAAGGGAAACTGCATGGATTGGTGAGGGGTGTGTATGAGGAAGTGTGGGGTCTGGCTGTTAGTCAGACATGCCAGCTGCTGCAGTGGGCTGTCAGCTTCAGATACCAGTATGGGCACCAGCTCCTG